CGCACTCCTGGTGGCCCTGCCTGTCTTGTGGCATTTGGCTCAGAGGTGACCTTGAAATTAGTGCATGCTTAGGAAGTCAGGGGGTGAGAAAGGAGCCAGAAGTTGGGTACAGAGGGTTTTGGCAGGTGGTGGATCTTGTCTTTTTGGTATCCTCAAATTGCCGTTCATTGCGGGTCCCAGGTGTTGAATTCTAGGAGCGAAGCCAGAGGCTTCAGAACATCTTCAGGCCCTGCAACCTGTAAACCAAGTCCATAAATACTGCTGTGGAGTTGGGTTCTCAAGATCAGAGTGCTTTGGTGGGTGGAGTGTGGGTGCTTCTCTCTTGCAGGCTGAGACTCACCCTTCCACTGGGGAGGTCTTCTTAGCTTCAGGGATCATGTGCAAGGAATCTCTGATTTCTACAAGTCTGCCAGGAAGAGAGGGGCTGGCTCAGGGAAGCCAGGTCTGTCTCTACCTGTAGAAAAATCTCACTGTAGAGCCCAGTCTGAAATTTCCAGCTTGCTGACCCTCTCCCCAGCTTCAATGACCAAGGCAGACTTGGCCTCCTCAACTCCTCAGCTCATTCTACCCTGTTGTCCAGGCTGGCTGGGCATTTGGAGTATTCCCTAAGGCATCAGCCTTCCACCTGGTCTCCATCCCTCCAGCCCCACCCATGTACACACCTCCACGGCCACCTTTCCAAAGCCCGATTTTGGTCCTGCAACTTCCCTGCTTAAAACCTTCAATGGCTCACTGCCACCCTTGAGTTAAGACTCTATGTCCAGTCTGTTCTTCCCCCCACCTCTCCCTCATTTACCTCTTCTGAGTCAAACCTATCAGGCTTCCAGAACAGCCCATGTTCTTTCTAGCTACCCCCTGACAGACAGACATTCTTCAGCCCAGAGCCTTCCGGCTTCCTGTCCTGGTGTGCTCTGCGGGTTACCTGTGCTATCACATCCCCAATTCCAGGTTAGGTCCAGAGCCCCTGTGCTGATAGCCTTGATCACAAAACAGCCTTCTGTGCTGCAAGTTCCATGCCCATCTGTCCATCCATCCCTCCCAGACTCTGCACCTGGCTTGCAGCTTCTTAGCCTCCCTAAACTGTTAAGGACTGACTGGCCTGAGTTGCAGAAGCAATAAAAATTCAGGAAAGGAAGAAAGATTCTTCTGCAGTCAAAATGACCTCCATTTGCCTAGATTCCAGATTATGGATCATGTGACACAAGCTAGCTTGGTGGGCAAAATCTCATGCAGGGGCAGACTGCACCCTGTCTTCGACTCAGCACTAGATCTTTGGTGGTAGCATTCATAGAGACCAGGGACTTCCAGACATCCCAAGGCTTGGACTTCACCCCAGAAAATTCTGATGTCATTGACTAGGGGCAGAAGGTCAGGATTGTTTAAATGTCCAGGTGATAATAAAACGTACAACCAGCTTGAGATCCCAGATCCAAAGAGTATACAGACATCAGTCTTTTCCACAGGTGTATTTTACAGTCCACTGGAAGGTTTAAAACTCTGCCCACATCCTGGGTCCACTTGCCCCTTGTCCATTAAATTAGAATCCATAGAAACAGGGAACCTAGATATCAGCATTCAAAAGGTCCCTGAAGATGTTCCTGCTTTGAAGTGGGGTTTGAAACTACAGTTCCTAAAGAGGGCTTCTTTCCATCATCCCTCTTTCTTCTCTCTCCTTTTCCTAGTGGCATTTGCTGAAAACCCCTCTGTTCACACAGTCATCTCTGGTACCCCGTTCCTCTCAGGGAAGGTTGGGGATGGAAGAACTCCACGCTGTCCAATGAACCTGTCCTTGGATGGACATGTGGCACTCTTCTTTAACCCGCTAGTAGCAGGGATCTGGGGGTTTGCACCCTGAATGGATGCTTCAGGGTCCGTGCTTGTGTTTAGACATTTTCCCCTGCTCCCAAATTTGTCAAAAGACTGTTCAGTCAGGGGCTGTGTTCACATGTCACTGGAATGGAAGATTTTCCCAGGGCACCCTAGACCTACCTGGGGCTGCTGGTGGTGGCAAGGTGGGCCAGTGCTCTGCTCCCTCCTTTGCAGACATGAGGTCTGTAACCATGTCATTGACACAAATGTGGCTGTGACTATGGCTGTCTCCTGCTTTGGTGGGCAGCTCCCTTGGCTTGGCCTAAGGGAATGCTAGCAGCATTCTAAGCCTCTTTGATGGAGTCACCACTTACAGAAATGGCTCCCACCCCTGAGGCAGGGTGCTGCCTCAGCTCTGACATTTAAAACTTCCTGTAAAATTCACGCACTGTAAAATTAATGTCTTTAAAATGAACTATTCGTTCGGTGGCATTTAGAACATTCACAGTGCTGTGCAACCACTTGTAGTTCTGAAACATTTTCATCACTCAAAAGGAAACTGGTACCCATTAGGTCCCCATCATTCCCTACCCTCAGCCCCAGGAAACTAGTGTTTTCTATTTCTATAATTTAACCTATTCTGGGTATTTCATCTTATGTGGCTTTTTTTAGCTGGCTTCTTTTATTTGTTATAATCCTTTTGAGGTCTATATACATCTATAACACTTATTTCATCCCCTCTTATGACTGAATGATATCCCATTATACAGATACACACCATCATCTATCAAGATCCATGGGGGACTGGATGCAGTCCCCCTGTGAATACTAAAGTCCTCAGATGTGTAACCCCCTTATGTTTGTGTGTGATCTATGTACTTCTTTTGTATATTAAATCACCCACAGACTTCCTATAATACTTTGTACAATGCAAATGCTGCATAAATAGTTGTTAATTAGTCTTGTCTAGGGAACATTGACCAAAAAATGTCCATAATATGTTCAGTAAAGACAAAAGTTACCTTTCCCAATATTTTCATTTCCAGTTGATTGAATCCATGAATGTGGAATCTTCAAATAAGGAGGGCGAATTGTACAACTTCTGGTTATCCATTCATAAGTTGTTGGGCAAACATTTGAACTACTTCTGTCTCTTGGCTATTGGACAATCCGGAATTTTTTGGTTTCTTTACAGCTAAAGCCCAAACACTTCCTGACTAGTTGTTCTGGAGTCCTAGCATTGATATACAATGGTCCTGGGTGACCCCCTTTCCTATGTATCAAGTGCCAACTTCAGGGGTCAAAAGGGGCAGCATCTCAAACTCCAGGTTCAGCCTCAATGGACTTCTGCACTTCACCTCCATGTCCTGCCTAATAATTAACCTGGGTCTGATCTCTGTCTCATCTCTTCTTACAATGTGATCCCTCAATCCCTGCTTGGAAGGCTTCAACAGAGGACTTGAATAATGGAGGGGGTGGACAGGCCAGCACACTGCTTTAAATGGACCTTCACGCATATATGCATGGAATCTCTTATGGACTGTGTTCATCCAGGGGATTCAGCCAGGCCCCCTCCTATAGCTACTTTCTTTTTCTTTTCAAATTCCTCCCATCTGACATTCAAAGTGGCCACCAGGCAACTCCAGTCATTTGGGGCATCACAGACTCTCGTCTTTTTCTGTCGTTAGGAACATGCCTTGGGGTAAGAAGATACCATGGGGATTCTATCCCCCCAAAATGATTTAATTTTTCTCCTGTATCAAAAGGAACTTTCTCTTCATGAGAGTGATTCTGCTGAATTTCTAGGTCAACTGACCCAATGGGCTATCAGCTTTTTAAAAATAATACACAAATTCTGCCAATGGTCCCAGGTGTCCTAGTATCGTAGGAGGTCATTTTTCCCTTTTGTATATAAGTGGTGAGATGGACACAACATAAACCTGGAAGGGCCTCTGAAATTAGTCATTAATCCTCTCTAAAAAGTACTGATGTTGCCTTAATTTGGTATTGCATTTAAAAAAAACTTGCTTGTACATAATGGCTAAGAGTTGAGCTTTTACTCTGAGCAGATTTGTGATGATTTCATTCTTCACAGCAGAAAGAGGACATGACTTAATTTAAAATATCCAAGGCTTGTGGCTCAGTGTGGTGGCACATGCCTTTAATCCCAGCACTCAGGAAGCAGAGGCAGGTAGATCTCTGTGAGATCAAGGCCAAGCTGGTTTACATAGTGAGTTCCAGGCCAGCTGGGGCTACAAGGAGACCCTGTCTCAAAACAAGACAAAAATTTTTTTTCAAGGCTTTTCTAGTTGTGTGTCAAATGTACTACAGGAAGCTGCCAGTTTTAAGTTTTCTTTTTTTTTTTTTAAGTTTTATTTTACGTGTACAAGTGTATTGCTTGCATGCGAGTGCACCCATGTCGTGCAATGCCATGGAGGTCAGAAGAGGGCTTTGGATTCCCCTGGAACTGGAATTAAGGACAGTTCATAGTGGCCATGTGGGTGCTGGGAACCGAACCCAGGTCCTCTGCAAGAGCAGTCAGTGCTCTTAACCGCTGAGCCATCTCTCCAACCCCAGAAACTGCCAATTTTAAAGGCTGTGTCAGAACTGCAGGTGAGAGTAACATGGCTACCGACAGGCTGGACGAAACAGCCAGATTATGGATAAGTTTAAAGGCAAAGATGGATGGCATCAAGGTTTTGGCCTGGTGACTACCGTGGTGGAGCTGGTATTTCCTGCAGTAGGAAGAAGGCAGCTGTAGGGTTGGAGAGGGAGGGCAGTGGGTTCGAGGTGAGTATCAGGGGTCCAAGGAGAGGCAAAGTGAGCAACTGTTGTCTGAGACTAGAATTTAGTGGTGATGATGGGCTGTGCCTTTGAAGAAAGGCAGGAAGGTGGTTTGATGATCACCCCCACCCTGCCATTCCACTGCTATTAACAGGAAGAGTAAGAGAGAAAATCACATGTGGGGTCAAGAAAGAGCTTTGTAGTTTTTCCTAGAAGGGAGAAGCTGAGGCTCATAGAATACAAGTTTTTTCAGGGTCACACAAAATTTTAGTTAGTGCCAAAGCTGAGATCTAGCAGGTTCATTGGGTCCCTGGCCCCTAACCTTTTCCAGCACATACTGCCTCAACTGCACACACAGACTGAACACAGATGAGCTGAGCCTCCTGACTCGATTTTATGTTTCTCAGGTCACCATTCTTGTCAGCCTGGCCCTTGCTTTCCTCGCCTGCATCGTGTTCCTGGTGGTTTACAAAGCCTTCACCTATGACCACAGCTGCCCAGAGGGATTTGTGTATAAGGTAAGGAATTTGGGGCAGGTGGAGGGCCCTAGGTTACTGCCAACAATTGGAGGGATTATCAATGTCTTCTGCTCCCTGATGATCATATTTTGGGTATGGTTAACACCCTCCCCCAACTCCCGGACTGTTTTAAATACAACTTGTACCTGCAGGAGCATTTTCAAGTTTTCCTGAAGGACTGTCTCAGGTAGCACTAGAGCTCCTATCCCGAGGTCAGGAGGTGGGCTAGCTTGGACTTTAGCAGGGAAGGAAGCGCACTGACCTTTAATACTGACTTTTCCATCTTTGGAAACCTCTGCTTTGTGTGGCTCTTCCTGGCTAGGTGGTGGATTTCTTCGTGGTACTCCTAAAAATGATGAAGAAGAAGATTCTTGTGAGGCTTCCTGCCCAGCCTGTGGCTAGACACCTGATTCTTGGGTTCCTTTCCTCCTGACCATTGCTTTAGCTGCTCTTCTTCCTTCAAAGGCCTGGGTGGCCTGCATTACCCAGGTCTTCTTGCTCCCCTGGGCATTCCTGTTCCTGCTTGCAAAATGGGGGCTCACAGTACCTTCCCAAACAAACAGGTTAACAAAAAAACCCTGTTGAATAGTGGGCTCTCAGTGTATATTAGCGTCAATAAAGTAGGAATCTGTTTTAAATCTGAAATAGGTGATGGTCTTAATATTTATGATCATCATTTGCTGAGTTTTTTTTATTATATGCCAGGCTATTTGATGGAAATGTTATTTCAAGAAAACCACATTATTCTGAAAATGGGTTTTATTGTTCCTCGTTTACATAAGAGATAATAGAGTTAAGAGCATTTAGTTAAGAGGATTTCCCAAGACATCACCACTATGAAGATGTTCCAAAGTGGGAGGATCAAATGGGGAATGTTCCAAATGAAAACAAGTGTCCTTTGGTTCCTCTCCATCACTTGGTAGAGCTACACTCTTAATGAATAAAAGCTGAGGTTCTGCAAGAATGGAAACAGCAAGCATTGGGGACAGCTGAATAGGATGCTTTGTCTACACAATGGGATTCCATAGAATTGTGACAGCAAGGGAAGGCTACCTGGCATGCAACATAGACTTCCCTCCATTTATTGGTACAAAGCTTCTACTTGGGCATGAAAAAGGGGCAGTGTCTTAGTTACTTTCTATTGTAATAAAAACACTGATCAAAACCAACTTGGGGAGGGAAGGGTTTATTTGGCTTACATCTCCTGGGTCACAGTTCATCATGAGGGAGCCCAAGGTAGGAACTCAGGGCAGGAACCTGGAGGCAGGAGCTGGAGCACAGGCCATGGAGAAACACTGCTTACTGGCTTGCTCCCCTGGTCTGTGTTCAACCTGTTTTCTTAAGCACCCCAGGACCACCTTCCCAGGGGTGGCACCACCCACAGTGGACTGGGCCTCCCACGTCACTCAACAATCAAGAAAATGCCCCACAGACATGGCCACAAGCCAGTTCAATGGAGGCAATTCCCCCAATTGAGATTGACACTACCCAGGTGTGTCAAGCTGACAACTGAAGCTATCCAGCGCAGGGAAGTAAAGTGAATTTGCTTATTATTCACAGAAAGAAATTCTAAAAGAATAAAAATTTAAAATACCAAATATGAATCCTCAGAGGGAAGGAAGGGAGCAGAAGTAGCAGCAACGCTTGTCTAGAATCATCTTGTTATGTGTTTATCTTAAAATATACAAATTGTTGTCTTATTTGACAAATAAGAAAAATTCTAGAAATTAAATAAAAAGAACATAGTGCTATATTGAGTTGAGAACATAAACTCAACATAAAAAACACGTTTTTCAAATAACTGCAGGATACAGTATATAGACTGTGGAATCTTAGTGGAAGATACACATGCTTCTCCACTTACAGTAGGGCTTTGACATGATAAACTCATTGTAAGTTGAAAATACCTTTGATGCAGCTAACCTGTCAAACATCAGTGCTTAGCTTAACATAGCTTGGCTCAGAACCTCATACCGGCCTACAGATGGGAAATCATCTAAGAAAAAGAGGCTACTTTATAATATTGAGTATCCTGTGCAATTTATTGAATACTGTACTGGGTTGAAAAAAAGTATTGCATGGGTATGCCGTTGGCACCATCATGAAGTTGAAAACTCCCAAGTCTTTTATAAACAAAGAACTGTCTATATTCTTAGGACACTGGTAAATAGCAACATTCGTTCAGTATAACCTTCACTCAGAGTGGTAATATTGGTGTTAGTCATCAGTATGTGTGTGTGTGTGTTATATA